AAAACAAATGGGGGCGCCTGGATGGCTCAGTTGGTTAAGCAGCTGCCTTCGGCTCAGGTCATGGTCCCAGGGTCCTGGGATCGAGGCCCACGTCAGGCTCCCTGCTCAGTGGAGAGCCTGCTTCTCCCTCTCCCTCTGCCTATTTGGGCTCTCTATCTCTCTGTCAAATAAATAAATAAAATCTTTAAAAAAAAAAAAAGAAAGCAACAAAACAAATGAACATGGGGGAAAAAAGATACACATTAACAAAATTAAGATTAGAAATCATATGATTATCTCAATAGATGCAGAAAAACTTTTGAAAAAAACAAGGAAAAAAAAATCTCAACAAACTGGGTATAGAGGGAATGTACCTCAACATAATAAAGGCCATCTATGACAAGTCCACAGCTAACATCATACTCACTGGTGAAAAGCTAAAGGCTTTTCCTCTAGGATTAAGAACTAGACAAAGATGCCCACTCTTGCCACTTCTATTTAACACAGTTATGGAAGTCTTAGCCACAGCAATTAGTCAGAACAATAAATAAAAGTCATCCAAATCAGAAAAGAAAAAGAAAAATTGCCTCTATTTGCATATGATATTATATATAAAAAACCCTGAAGACTCTGCAAAAAAACTGTTAGAACTAACAAAAGAATTCAGTAAAGTTGCAGGATATAAAATAAATATGCAAAAATCAGTTGCAATACTATACACTAACAAAAAATATCAGAAAGAGAAATCAATGGCTCCATTTACAACTGCATCAAAAATAATAAAATACTTAGGAATAAATTTAACCAAGGAAGTGAAATATCTATACACTGAAAACTATAATATATTAATGAAAGAAATTGAAGAAGACATAAATAAATAGAAAGATACTCTATACTCATGGATTTGAAGAATTGATGTTAAAATGTCCATACTATGCAGATTCAATACACGCCTATCAAAATTCTGATGGCATTATTCACAGAAATTTAAAAACTATCCTAAAATTTGTATAGAACCAAAAGACCCTGAATAGCCAAAGAAATCTTGAAATGTAAGAACAAAGCTGGAGGTATCATACTTCCTAATTTCAAACTATATTACAAAGCTACAATAATCAAAACAGTATAGTACTGGCATAAAAACAGACACAGAGATAAATGGAATAGAGGAGCCCACCCCCCAAAAAACCACACATATATGGTCACTTAATTTATAACAAAGGATACATGAATATACAATGGGAAAAGATAGTCCCTTCATTAATGATGCTGAGAAAACTGGATAGACGCACGTAAAAGAATGAAACTGGACCATTATTTCACACCATACACACAAATCAGCTCAAATTGGATTAAAGACATTAAAACTCCCAGAAGAAAACATAGTCCATACACTCCTTGACATTGACTTTTTGGATCTGACACCCAAAGCAAAGGCAAAAAAAGCAAAAATAAAGTAGGACTACATCAAACTAAAAAGCTTTTGTATAACAAAGGAAACCACCAACAAAATGAAAAGGCAGCTTAATGGAAGAAAATATTTGCAAATCATATATCTGATAAGGGGTTAATGACCAAAATATATAAAGAACTTAACTCAACAACAGAAAAATCTGATGGAAAAAATGGGCAGAGGATCTGAATAGACATTTTTCCAAAGGAGACATACCCATGGTCAATAGCTCAACATCATTAATCATTGGGGAGATGCAAATCAAAACCACAGTAAGATATTACTTCCCATTTGTTAGAATGGTTATAACTAAAAGACAAGATATAACAAGTGTTGGTAAGGAGGTGGAGAAAAGGGAACCACTGTGCACTGTTGGTGGGAATGTAAATTGGTGCAGCTACTAGGGGAAACAACATAGAGATGTCTCAAAAAATTAGAAATAGAACTTCCATATGATCCCACAATACTTATTTACTTCTTGGTATATAATCAAAGGAAATGAAAACAGGATATCAAAGGATATTCTGCACTCCCACATTCACTGCAGCATTATCCACAATAGCCAACATATGGAAAAAAAGTAAGTGTTCATCAACAGATGAATGGATTAAGATGTGGTATATATATAAACTATTATTCAGCAATGAGGAAGAAGGAAATCCTGCCATTTGGGATAACATGAATGGACCTTGAGGGCATTAAGCTAAGTGAAACAAGTCAGAGTAAGACAAACACTATATGATAGCACTTATATGTGGAATCTAAAAAAGCTGAACTCGTAAGACAAAGACTAGAATACCAGGAACTGAGGAGTGGTGACAATGGGGAGATGTTGGTCAAAGAGTACAAATTTCCAGTTACAGGATGAATAAGTTCTGGGGATCTAAGGCACAGCATGGTGACTATAATTAATAATACTGTATTACATACTTGAAAGTTGCTAAGAGAGTAAACTTAAATGTTTCACTACAAAAAAAGAAACAGTAATTATGTGATATGATGAAGGTGTTCACTAACAGGTATGGTGGTAATCATTTTGCAATATATAAGTGTATTAAATCAACACGTTGTACACGTTAAACTTACACAATGTTATATGTCAATAATATCTCAATAAAGTTAGGGAGGTGGGGGAGAAATACTTGAATAAAATCACTGGCTTTAAGGAAAAAGAGAAAAAACTCTTTTGGGCATAGACTTAGGGCAAAGTCACTTAAATGGGAAAGAAATTCAAATTGTCAGTAGACTTCAACAGAATAAAATGGCATAATTTATATAAGGTACTCAAGAAAAGAAAGTATGGCTCAATGATTTTTGTATTTGAAAGTCAACCAAACTGTCTTTCAAAATTAAATGCCACAGTAAACTGTTATCAATATGCAAGAACTCATATTGTTCACATGAACCTTTCCTATCAAATCTACTAGGGAATGAGCTTCAGATAGCATAATGACTAGAGAAACATTGACATAAGAATTACTGGTGAATATTAAATATTTATTTAATTGTAAAATTAAGATAAGATGAGGGTTATGAGAGAATATAGTATACAATGGTTATATGAGTTTACAATGTTGATACAGTACAGCTGTACTATACATCTTTTTTTTAAGGTGAGGAAATGAGGAACGCATACCCAAAAATAATTTAATTGTTTCCAGCAATCATATGAGTGGTGGTAGTATTTTTGAGACTTGTTTTTCTAAGACTATCCTGTATATAATGTGGAATAAAACAAACAAATAATTATGTGATATTATAACATGCCAATATTCTTGATAACTGGGATTATTCTTGATGAGGAAAGGAGATTTAGAAATTATGTTATAATTTTTAAAGCATTAATGGATTTAGGCATTGAGTTTCAACGTCAGCTAGCATCAAGAGAGACAATCAAACACTATATACTTTTTAAATCTGTGTAAGACTGAGTAATGTATTAAATATACTATGAGAATATAATCCACAAATCAAGACTGTAAGAAACTATATAGGTCAAATGATTCAATTTCCTCAACAAATAAAATATGAGGGGAAGATAAAAAGAGACAGATGAGGAACTCACAGATTAAGAGAGATTTAAAAGAAAGAACTAAACAATGATGTTTAGGGATGCATACATAGCTGATAAAATTATAATGAAAGCAAAGAATTGATTACTGTAAAATTCATGATAGTCATTACTTTTAGGTGGGTAGAAAGGGGTTTGTGATTAAGATAAGGCATATACAGGGCACTTGGGGTAGCTGGCAAAATACTGTTTCTTGACCTAGGTGGGAGTTACAAGGATGTTTAACTTTTAATAATTCATTAATGTTTGCATTGGTTTTATAGAGTTTCCAGTCTCTAATATGTTAGGCATAAAAAAGATTAAAAATAAACAAAAAATAAATTTTTAAATGTAAATCATAGTATGTTGCTCTCCTGCCTAAAACCCTCCAATAGCTTTCCATCACATTCACAACAAAACAAAAATTCTTTCCTTCCAGTCTCAACTCCTGCAATCCTCAGCCTTTAAAATGAATCATGGAACACTACATCTAATTAATTAATTAATTAATTAATTAATTTTAAAATGCCCATTATATGAAAGATGACATGAAAAATAAAAAAATTTTTTAAATTAAAAAAAAAAAGCATTCTAGTCAGGGCACCTGGGTGGCTCAGTCGGTTAAGCGGTGAAACGTCTGCCTTCAGCTTAGGTCATGATCCCAGGGTCCTGGGATGGAGACCTGCACTGGGCTCCCTGCTCAGCGGGGAGTCTGCTTCTCCCTCTACTTCTGCCCCTCCCCCTGCTCCTGTTCTCTCTCTTTTGCTTTCTCGTTCAATAAATAAAATCTTAAAAAAAAAAAAAGCATTCAAGTCACTTTGGTTTTCTTTGTTTCTTGATTATGCCACTTTTATTTTACATTAACTCTTCTCTCTGTCTTGGAACTCCACCATTTCCTTTGTTTAGAGCAATTTCCCCCTACATTTTGCATAAAAGGCCCCTCTGCTCTGTAGAATCCATTCTCTATTAAATTGAGTCATCCTCTTTATATTCTTTCTAGTACTTATCATCTGAAATTACCTTGCTTAATTATTTACTTTTTCTGACTGTGTCTTCCATTAGAACAAAAGCTCTTCGAGAGGAAGGACTTGTCTGACCTGGTCACTGCTGCAACCACTGCTCCTAGAACAGTGTCTGGCATATAGAAGATACTCAACGAATTAAACCACTCAGAAAGAATGAATAGTATGAGAAGAGAACCAAGGACAAAACCATGGGGAATGTCTACATTAGGAGACAGGTAAAGGAAGAGAAAGGGGTGAAGAAATCTTCTGAACAAAGGAAAAGAGGTGTCCCAGGAACCAGACAGTAAAGTGTCCTGGTAAATTTGGTTCTCGAATCCTTACATCATTTATTGCTTGTAGCTTAGAACTTGCTCCTTAGACCTGATGCTTGATATTCTTCGACTGGTACTGACTTCTGGTCTCCCCCTGCTCCAACCACCTCTTGACTTAAGAAGCTTAAGATTAAGCAACTGTTCCAGGAAAAGCTCATCCAACCCATTCCCCTGAGACTCACCCTTGGGACAGCCTTTTGCGGCTGGAATTCCTTCCAGATTCACCTCAGGAGTGTGGACTAAATAGAAGCAAATTGATTGTATGGTAAATGACACAGAAACAATTTCTCAAACATCTTCATAATCATTATCACTGAAACAAATCACCAAGGGTAAAGATCAAAGATAAGAGTTAGAAAAAGAATTGCACACACAGAAAGAAGAGCTTTAAAGAAGAAATTGGAAGTGACAATTTAAAAAATAAATATTTGCTGAAGAATTAGAAATGCTAAGTATCAAACACAAACTGAAATGGGGAATAGATAAGATCTGAAGCACCATGTCCACAAACTGTTATAGTTGTCAAATTTCATACTTACCAAAAATATGTGCTTCAATAGGGAAGAATCAAGATTCTAAGGAAGAAATCATGGAAAATAATGACAAAGGGATCTGTACAAAATCAAAAACAGAAATGATAAGGAAACAATATTGTATAGACACGATAGGATAATCCATTGATATATTAATTTGCTCTCTCACCTGAAAGTATTTTTCCCCTCCTCTATTCTAGTCAAATAACCAGAAAACTTTGGAATTTGCTTTTAGGAAACAATGTCAACTCTGACTTCTCCCCTGTCATGCTGTTTCTCTCTCTCTCTCTCAAATAAATAAAATCTTTAAAAAAAAAAAAAAAGCAGATCTGAGTCTTAGAGAAATTAAGGAATGTGACATTCTTTGCATATCAATATTTTGGACTAAAATTCATAATTATCACAGACATTTAGACAAAATAAGCTAGAGTTCCTTATGAATACAGCACAAGAGACTGCAGAGTTTTAGGGCACCTGGGTGGCTCAGTCAGTTGGGCATCCAACTCTTGATTTTGGCTTGGGTCTTGATCTTGGGGTCATGAGATCAAGCCCTGCAGCAGGCTCCATGCTCAGTGTGGAGTCTGCTTAAGATTCTCTCTCCCTCTCCTTCTTCCCCTCCCCCCCACTCACATGCTCTATCTCTCTCTCTCTAAAATAAATAAATAAAATCTTTAAAAAAGAAGAGAGATGGCAGAGTTTTAAAAGAATTAAGAAGAATAAAAGGCAAAAGACAAATGTCCCAGTAACAATGAGAAAGAACAGCAAATAGGAATAAATCATATGCATTAGGGTTCTCCAAAGAAACAAAACCAATAGGAAATACAGAGTATAAATATATCTAGATAGATATCTAAGTATAGATATCTATCTAGATATATTTATATATGTATACAACAATGGAATATTACTCAGCCATCAGAAAGGATGAATACCTACCATTTACATTGATGCGGATGGAACTGGAGGGTATTATGCTAAGCAAAATAAGTCAATCAGAGGGGCGCCTGGGTGGCTCAGTCGTTGAGCGTCTGCCTTCAGCTCGGGTCATGATCTCAGGGTCCTGGGATCGAGCCCCGCATTGGGCTCCCTGCTCCGCGGGGAGCATGCTTCCCACTCTCCCTGCTGGTGTTCCCTCTCTCGCTGTGTCTCTCTCTGTCAAATAAATAAATCTTTAAAAAAAAAAAAGAAAGAAGTCAATCAGAGAAAGACAATTATCATATGGACCCATATGTGGAAGATAAGAAATAGCGCAGAGGATCATAGGGGAACGGAGGGAAAATTGAATGGGAAGAAATCAGAGAGGGAGACAAACCATGAGAGACTCTTGACTCTGGGAAACAAACTGAGGGTTGCAGAAGGGGAGGTGGATGGGGAGATGGGGTAATTGGGTGATGGACATTGAGGGCACGTGATATGATGAGCACTGGGTGTTATGTGCAACTGACGAATCAATGAACACTACATCTGAAACTAATGATGTACTATGCATTGGCTAATTGAATTTAAATAAAAAAATAAAAATAAATTCACTTAAGTATACAGAGAGAGGGAGTTAGATCTACAGGGTAGGCCAGTAGGCTGAAGACCCAGAAGAACTGCAGTTCTAGCCCAAAGGCAGTTCTGCTGGCAGAATTCGTTCTTGTTCTGGAGAGGTCAGTTTTTGTTCAATTAAGGCCTTCAGCTGATTGGACGAGACTTATCCACATTATGGAGGGTAATCTACTTTACTCAAAGTCCACTGATTTAAATGTTAATCTCATCCAAAAAAACTCTTTCATTGAAACATTCAGAAGAATGTCTGATGAAATATTTGGGTACTATGGCCCAGCCAAGTTAGAGCATAAAACTAACCACGTATCATATATTCCCTGAATGCCAAGGCAATTTCCATTTACCATGTAAGATACCTGCAGCTGTAAATACTTGAGAATCCACTTTAGAAATCACTTGATATGTAAAATAGAGAAACAGATGTTAGGTTATTGCAAATATTTCAAAATAATAGGAACATCTATACTTAAGGTTCTAGTACAAAAATTTAAAGGATGAAAACTGTCAAATAGTGGAAGTGTCTGAAAACTGATTTTAAAAGGATGTATCTTGTAAACAGTTTGTGAGAAGTCATTCTATTTTTCCTAAAACTGGGAACAAGGGGTAAGAAAATAATCAAGAGACCATAGACTGGCACAATAGAGATAATTCTCTCCCACCTCACTCTTTTTTTTTTTTTTTAAGTAGACTCTGTGCCCAGCGTGGAGCTCAAACTCACGAACCCATGACCCTGAGATCAAGACCTGAGCTGAGATCAAGAGCTAGATGCTCAACCAAATGAGCCACCCAGGCACTCTTCCAACCTCACTCTTTTACAAAAAACTAACTTGACCCTCTCTTCTCCTTCTCAGCAGCTAGAATCTAAGAGTCAGAGGGAATGAAACTAACCCACTGTACTTCACCAACATGGCCCCCAACTGATATTTGACAAGGGCCTAGAAACATTCTCTGCTAGGTATAATGAGCCAAAGTAGCCTCAACTAAATCCCCAACAACTTCAGGCCTTGAAACAGGGCAAAAATTTGACATATTAAAAAATACAGTGTGTGGGGCGCCTGGGTGGCTCAGTCGTTAAGCGTCTGCCTTCGGCTCAGGTCATGATCCCAGGGTCCTGGGATCGAGCCCCACATCGGGCTCCCTGCTCCGTGGGAGGCCTGCTTCTCTCTCTCCCACTCCCCCTGCTTGTGTTCCCTCTCTCGCTGTCTCTCTCTGTCAAAAAATAAATAAAATCTTTAAAAAAAAAAAAATACAGTGTGGCCTTCACTATCATTATCCCACATCTTTATTCTAATGAATAAAAATCGGTAGACTGGCCCTTAATGTGTTAAATACTCTAAGAAACATCTCCATCAGATTTGTCTCCACATGACTTCCTTGAAATGCCAGAAAGTTACAGCTTATACTATGGTTCTTTAGTTTTTCTTTTTTTTTTCAAAGATTTTATTTATTTATTTGAGAGAGAGACCGAGAACACGAGCAGAGGGGAGGGGCAAAGGGAGAGGGAGAAGCAGACTCCCCACTGAGCAGGGAGCCTGATGCAGGGCTCATCCCAGGACCCTGAGATCATGACCTGAGCTTAAGGCAGACATTTAACTGACTGAGCCACCCAGGCACCCATATTGTTCTTTAGTTTTTCGATACAGATTTTAGATTTGCTCAAGCAGATCTCCTCATTCTCAGAATGATATGTATGTGTTGAAGATCTTTATCGTCAGGGCATGCAGTAAAAATATATAAGGTCTATTCATAATGTATATCATGGTTAGTGAATCTTTGAATTTAATCACTCTTTCCAAATAAGTTGATTTTCAATATGTCTTTCTTAAAAGGTTATCTTTCATTTTCTATTCTTATACATAAGTATCTCCCAGAAATAAACTCTAAGTTTCCTTCCATTTCAATACCTTCACTGTATAATTATTTTCAAAGTTGACAAGCTCTAATTACCTACATAATATGAGGTAGAAAAATTCTTTCTATGACAGGCCATTAAATAATATTTCTGAGATAAAGACTTCTGATCCATGGCCTTGCCCTGCAATAGTACATGCATTTCAGGTTCCTCCATATACCTGAAACAGACCGTTGAGAACATCACAGAAAAGTACTAGTGTGAGGAGAGCTAAGTAAACACGTACATCGTACATCAGGGACGCCATATACTGTAGCCAATTCCCAACTCCACTTTAATTCCCAACCCCCCAGAAACTGCTCAGCCATTCATGATATTTGATACTGAAGTACTTACAAAATATAGTCAATCATTACATTGGTTGTATGATAAAAGATAACTGTCAAAACTTAGTAGTGAGCTGGGAAATTATTTTAACAACATACAATAGCCATGATTTCATCCTTCCAAAATATCTTTAAGAAATCTGTACTAGCTGTTTGCCATCTAGCTGTTTGTCATTTAGAGAATTACTAAATTCTCTAAAACCAGAGTTTAAAATACATAACACATGACTGTATATTATAAAGCTAGAGGGTGGGACACCTGGGTGGCTCAGTCATTAAGCGTCTGCCTTCAGCTCAGGTCATGGTCCCGGCATCAAGTCCCATATAGGGCTCCCTGCTCCACGGGAAGCCTGCTTCTCCCTCTCCCACTACGCCTGCCTGTGTTCCCTCTCTTGCCGTGTCTCTCTCTGTCAAATAAATAAATAAAATCTTTTAAAAATAATAATAGATAAATAAATAAGAAATAAAGCTAAAGGGTGAAAGTGTTGATATAACACCTGCTTTACAAACCTTACTTTGAAAATTTAGGATGCTAGGACTTATGTCCCTGAAGTTATCATAAAATGACAGCTAACAGCAATTATATAAAATTTACTGACAAGGTATGGGATTCAGTTATTATAAAATTTCCCAATCCGTTTCTAGGCAATCATTTGCATGCAGCCCTTCTAAACAGTGCTTAAGAATTATCTGAACATCTTATTTAATACTGACTATAATTTATTTGTAAGGAGCTACAGTAGAATGGACAGTTGTAATATGCTTCTCACAGATACACTAAAAGCCAGCTTTCATTTAGACAATGTTACATAATCTTGGAGAATGGGGTAAAAAAAAAATAGACACTAGCCACCAGGTAAAGTTGGTATACAGAAACCAAAATATTAATTCACTTTTGCAAAGTTGACAAGACTAGAATATCCTTTATTATATACATAAGTGGCATGTGTACTTTTAAGTGTACTTAATTGGAGCTCATCAAAATAGTATTTTATAGGTACATTTTATTCAGGGTCCCAACAAAAAACATATAGGTAACTTGAGAAAAGTTCAATAAGCTTCACAAGGTAGGCAAGATGTAGGAAACCAAAAAGAATAGTATCCTGGGCAGTTGAGCCTTGGGTCTGAATGGGCAAGGGAAGAAAGAGAGGGGTGGGCCACTTTAAAAGAAGTTATCCCTTTAGTAGAGGCCAATAGCAACTCCCTCTTCCCTCTGATTGGGATTCCCTACTGGCCCAAACCAATGGGAAACCAGAGGACAAGGAATTCATTGATACAATCCATTTAGGTTAGCTTCCCAGAGCAAAAAGCAGGTGGAAAAGTTTAAGGAATGGCTCTAGTGGGAAATGTAAGAGAGTTAGCATAGCAGATATTTTTTTTTTAAGATTTATTTATTTGAGAGAGAGAGCATGAGCAGGAGGGCAGAGGGAGAGAGAATCTCAAGCAGACTCCACACTCGGTGTGAAGCCGGATGCAGGGCTCAATCCCAGGAACCTGAGATCATGACCTGAGCCAAAACCAAAAGTCCAATGCTTAACCGACTCAGGTGCCCCCATAGCAGATTTTTTTTAATGAGGTAAAGTGAGGTTGATATATCCCTTTGGTCCATGAAGGAGCTTCAAGGGGTTTAAGAATTAGTAGAAGCAGGGGGCACCTGGGTGGCACAGCTGGTTAAGCAACCAACTCTTTATTTCAGTTCAGCTTATATGATCTCAGGGTCATGAGATTGAGCCCCGAGTCAGACTCCACACTGGGTATGGAGCCTGCTTTTGATTCTCTTTCTCCCTCTCCTTCTGCCCCTCCCCTTTCCCCCACATTCTCTCTCTCTCTTAAAAAAAAAAAAAAAAGAATTAGGAGAAGCAGATGGTCATAGATCATTACAGTAATGACCCTGGCAAATCACACCTCTGAGTATCCACACCCTTGTTCACCTCCCCTTATATTGACCCTGGGCTTGGCCATATGACTTGATATGATCAATGGAACATCAGCACACATGATACAAGCAAAAGTTTAATAGGTGACCTCTTGTAATACTGCTCTGATATGTCTATGCCATGAAGACATCCAGAATGAAATACCATGTGGAAAGAGAGGACCAGCTGTCCTGGTTGTCCCAGCTGAGCCTCACCCCCAGCAGATCTGTTAACTGAGCACCTCAGCATGAATAAGCCCAATCAGAAAA